GAAAAACTTTTTCAGTAGGAGGGTGGTGAAACACTGGAATGCTTTACCTAGGGAGGTGGTGGAATCTCCTTCACTAGAAGTTTTTAAGGTCAGGCTTGACAAAGCCCTGGCTGGGATGATTTAGTCAGGGATCGGTCCTGCTTTGAGCAGGGGATTGGACTAGATGACCTCCTGAGGTCCCTTCCAACCCTGATATTCTATGATTCTCTGTGTGTGTTTCACTTGGCAACCTAAACTCAGTCCACGTGTGCATGGAATTATAAAGTAACTATGTTGACAGTGGAGGAATACTTACTTACTTTCTTGAAGTCAAAGCAAGTATAGCCTTGATCTTTCACTCAACTACAGATAGTTGGGCACCATCTTCCTGGTGATGTATTGCATTGATATTCCTCTTTGGGAGCTGTGGTCCAAGATCTCCTTAAAGTGCTCAAATATGCTATCCTACAGCATGTGTCCAGCAGAAACACTCTCTTGACAAATTAGGCCTCATGATTGTTTCTACTGGCTAAGGCAATTTTGTCCACAAGTAAACAAGACCGCTGCATAATGTCTTCTATCTAATTGGTTTGCAGTTTAATCTTTTTTTAAAAAAGAAATCCCACTTTCTGTTTCATAAAGGAAAAGTTGTTGTTTTCTCTTTTGGCTGCTTTGATTTATGAAGAAATCATGAAAAATTCTTCCCCCCCATTTCCCTCCCATCCCTAAATAAACAACCCCAAACCCTGCATGTTTACTTTGGGAGCACCTTAATTTTTGTCTTCTCTGTTTTAGTGGATGACTCCATAGAAGGCCACAGAACTGGAGTGATTTTTTAAATTTTATTTTTTTTTTTTAATCCTTACTTGGTAGGAACTTTGCAAAATTGTTGAACATTTTCTTTTCTACCCCCTCCTCCCTCTCGCCCTACATACATACACTTTCTTGATCTCATTGCCTACTATATATAACTGTGAAAATAATTATCAATCAGGTGCCTTAGGCAAAACTTTCGATTTTTAAAATGTTAACTTTTTCCCATTTAGGTGATGTAAATAATGCAGAGGGTGGTGATTTTTAACAACTTTCTCATGACCTTAACCTTTGGCACACTGGGCCTTGGATAGATGTTCTGCAGGCAACAGGAATTCCCCAATAGTGGAGACTAATGATGAGGAGTGGGCAGACTTTGTAGAGGACAAAAGATACTATGGATCAGGGCTATTGGACTGTATAGAAAGAGGAATTTAGAGTTGCTTTGAAGAATATAGTAAAAACTGGCCAGGCCCTGGCCCTTCCCCAACCCCACCTCCAAAACTCTCTCCATAATCAAGGAGACACCTATTTAAAGGGAAGTCCATTGTGAAAACACATGTTCTGCTGCACCCAGCATATGTTTGCCTTGTGCTATCCATTACTACAGAAGGGAGGTAAATATTGTAACTGCTTAATAAAACGGCTGGCAAATTTTGACTAAACTAGACAATAACAGTGGTACATGTTACAAATACTGACATAGCTAAAATGTCCCAGCAGGCATCACTCCAGTGTAATCCAAACCACACACTCTGCTCTTGCCCTGGGAGAACAGGAAGGAAAGTCCCACCCCCCTCCCTATATAGCTTTGTACAGTTGACCTGGTGCATTGTGGGATTTTGTTTAAAGTATTGGACACAGAACAAAAATACTGGAAGACTAGGTGGAGTAGCGGTATGATCTGGTACAATAAATCCTGTGCTTCTAACTGAATGAAGCAGTGATTTTGTGCAGTAGCACCAGTAACCCCCCGGTATGTTGGAATATCCTGTAGATTAGTTGACTTCTACCAGTTGGTACGTAGAATCACCGAATCTCAGGGCTGAAAGGGACCTCAGGAGGTCATCTAGTCCAACCCCCTGCAGGACCAATCCCCAACTAAATCATCCCAGCCAGGGCTTTGTCAACCTTAAAAACCTCTAAGGAAGGAGATTCCACCACCTCCCTAGGTAATGCATTCCAGTGTTTCACCACCCGCCTAGTGAAAATGTTTTTTCCTAATATCTAACCTAAACCTCCCCCCACTGCAACTTGAGACCATTACTCCTTGTTCTGTCATCTGCTACCACTGAGAATAGTCTAGAGCCATCCTCTTTGGAACCCCCTTTCAGGTAGTTGAAAGCCGCTATCAAATCCCCCCTCATTCTTCTCTTCTGCAGACTAAACAATCCCAGTTCCTTCAGCCTCTCCTCATAAGTCATGTGTTCCAGTCCCCTAATCATTTTTGTTGCCCTCCGCTGGACGCTTTCCAATTTTTTCACATCCTTCTTGTAGTGTGGGGCCCAAAACTGGACACAGTACTCCAGATGAGGCCTCACCAATGTCAAATAGAGGGGAACGATCATGTCCCTCGATCTGCTGGCAATCAGTGTAGTTTTGCCTAAGGCACCTGATTGATAATTATTTTCACAGTTATATATAGTAGGCAATGCCCCTACACTGAAATGTCAGTGCAGTCTTCAAAACTTCACTGCACTGCTTACAGATGCTGGGTGGAGGGTGAGGCAAGACTCTCTTTTCTCACTAAGGGTCGAGTTGTTTTGATTTGGGGCACACCCTTTAACTCTAACCCCAGAGCTGACTGTCCTTTGGGGACATCAGGCTGCATTTGCTTAGAAGCCTGGCTATATACACTATGCCTGCTGCAAGACCTGGATTTTGTAGCCTGGACCTGTTTGTTTTGCAGTTACATTGGCCTCTGACCATTTGTATCAGTGCTGGGTTTTTTTCCTTATGATGTAGTTATTTCCAGCTGAGCCTCTGTGTCATAATAATGTTGGTTCATCTGTTCCTACTCTAGTTCCAATCAGTATCTTCCACTGTGACTCTTCCTATGCAACCCAGTTACAATAACAGTAGCAGTGGAGCTGTAGGAGTAGATTATCTTGAACTTCCTGTTTTTCATTCAAATACCCTTGGTGTGAAAGGGGGGAGAGAGAGAACAAATAAAGTAGACGCAAGCGCTAGTCAGGCCTTAGCTGCCCTTTAAGAAGAATCTCTGCATCATTTACATGTCTGCTCACTTTCTGGTAAATGCTTTGAAACCAGAGGTGGTAAAATGTGTGCTTGTAGGGTTAGACACACATCACCTGGTGCTGGGAGTACAGGAAAGCCTGGAACTGGACTAATTCAGTAAGAAATGCTAATCTGAGTTTTTCTCTGATATGTTCCACTGTATTGCTATGGACTCCTCCTGTAGTAGCTGCCATTAAAAAGGCAAGATTTTCCCAACATAGCAACCATTATTGCTTCCAGATGAAAGTACAGGGAGGGAAATGTGATATTTTACCTACTAGGTAGTAACTGTTAGCAACTGGCAGCTTTTTGACAGTGATAGTTGTAACTTTAGTGGACTACCTGGAGCTAAAAGCAGCATTGTGTAGCTGTCTTGCCAATCCATTGCAAGCAGCAGGCTGTTGCAGTACATGAAAACAGTAATTCTGCCCTTTCCTCTGATTAAATAGTTCATGCTTTTATTTTTATTTTTGAAAGAGGGGATAGATTTCTTTGGGATGTATGTTCTCATCAGCTGGTGACTGGGATGCTTTTAAATGCTACGGTACCTGCGGTTAACCTAAGATTCTTCCCTCTGGGCCATCTTTAGTCTTCCTCGTAAGCTTTATATTCTCTGTTTTGACTCTAATGCTTTTACCTTTTGATGATGTATCTTCCAAGGCTGGCTTCTTTTCACAATTGCTGTCTCCCAACACCAAGACGGCTTATCGCAACCTAAACCTAAACAGGATGTCCTGCAAAGTGTACTCCCTTCGGCCCAGATGTGTGGCCTGGTCCTTTGAATCTTCAGAAATAGCTAGAGGTTACTCAGTGTAAATATCCAAAGGGATTGTCAACAAAGTCACCTCCTCTCCCATCACACACAGTCACATTTATATCTACCACCTTATTTGCTTTCTTTTGTCACAGCCTCAGGAAGAAGGCATGAGCTTAAAAATTGTCTTTCTGTTGGACACCAAAGGTCCATTAAATGAAGGCTGCTCTGCTCTGACTGCAGGACTGAGGAAGTTTTATTGTGAACTATCAAAAATGAAACTGAGCTGTAAAACATTTCTAGAGAAGATAGTGTACGCACCAGCCCCAGGGCCAAAGCTAAGACACTAGCACAGTATAAAGAGCATTCTCTGAACTTGTATTAACTTACGTAGCATGACTTATTTAATGCTCTCTAGTACATTAAAGTCTTACAAAGCCAGGCCTGTCTGTCATGGGCATTTATAGTACCCTCGTTATCATTGTAGCTAAGTGCCATCAGCAACCAAAAGATCAAGACAGGGAGCCCATTCATAAAACTCGAAAGAGTGACCTAGGGAATGTCCGATGCCTGATTTGTCCCACGTGGATGCATTCAGAATAGTGATCTGTCCTGCACACCATGCACAAGTGACAGTTGTTTGGGAGCTTCCATGGTACCATGTCTTGTTTATTCTAGTCCCTTGCTTTTCTAATTGGTGAATTCGCTCAAATGTAAAGTTTTCTCCACCAAAAGAAAGGCTGGACAAAGAGTGAAACCATTTTTGGCAAAATAAGTGCAGGTAGTGCACTAGATGTGCTGTACTGGTTTAACTTTGTCACCAACATATCTTCAAGTGACGTTGTTCTGTGCAAAAATGACTTGGTTTCTGCTTCAGATATTCCATTTAAACATGCTACTTGGCAACTCCTCCCCCTACCCCCACCGCAAACTACTAGTCTTGTAAACGTGCCTCCTGGACTGGTGTGTCAGTCCCACTGTGTTCATCCTTGCTCATGTCGGAAGTCAGAATAGAATTGGCTGTCTTCCCCAGGGCAATTTACAGTATCCCCATACTTTAAACTCAGAGGACCAAGGTAAACAGTCTTTAGCGTCTCGTGCTGAGTGTCAGTTTCTTTCAGTTGAAAAATTCAGGGGAGAGGGGTCTTTCCAGCTGCATCTCCCTTTCAGTTTGCATAGCATGAAATTCACCAGGTTCACATTCATTTCCGTACAGGGAATTCTCTTGGTGTATGACATCACTAACCGCTGGTCCTTCGATGGGATAGACCGCTGGATAAAAGAAATAGACGAGGTAAGTGTGACACTACAGCTGGTTTAGGATGTGTTCGTGCAGCGTCTATCACAATAGGACCTGGTGTGACTACAGTAATATAAACACTGCAGCGTCTGGTGCCAGCACAGAAATATCATTGTGCCGTAAAAGTGGCAGATCTCCTTGGATGCTGAATAGCCTGTTGATGCTGACACCTCTGATTTTACTGAGCCCCACAGATGGCACTTGCTGGAAAGCAGAGATTAAAAATATAATCAAAAGAGACAAGGTAGGTGAGGTTGGACCAACTTTATTGGTTTTGTTGGACCAACTTCTGTTGGTGGAAGGGACAAGCTTTCAAGCTTCACAAAGCTCTTCTTCGGTTCCAGGAAAGGCAACCAGAGTATCTGTGGGCTTGTCTACGCTGAAAACGCTGCAGTGCTTCAGTAAAGATGGTACCTACACGGATGGGAGGGGTTCTGGCGTTGGCGTAGGTAATCCAGCCTTGGATTCCAAGAAGCGGTAGCTAGGTCGACGTGAGAATTCTCCCATCGACCTAATGCTGTCTACACTGGGGGTTAGGTCGGTTTAACTGTATTGCTCAGGGGTGTGGATTTTTCGCACCCCTGAGCACTGTAGTTCTAGTGACCTAATTTCCTAGGATAGACCAGGCCTGGGCTAACTACAGGTTGGGGCAGACGTTCAGCATAAGGGGTTCATGTATGCTGTAGGAGGCCACTTAAAATGAAGTGGGCAATTGAGGGTTAGCAGGCAGTAGGGTGTGTTACAAACTGTGTTGTAATGAGCCACAAAACCAAGGTCTGATGCAGAGGAGTCGAAATCTCTGCTGTGTCCAGGAGACCTTTGGGGGGAAAGAAGGACTACCCTGTGCAGAGGAAGTACTTGCAATTCCCCAGTTGGAGAAGAAAAGAAAAGCCTCTATCTTGCTATCCATTTCTACCAGGCTAAAACTGTGCAGGCAACGGGGAGCAGGATATCCATACAGCTGAGTTGTGAGCCTGTTAACCAAGGCATTCCGGGCAACGCCCTGTAAAATCATGAGTGGAAGCGTCTGAAATGGAGTAATCTGTATGAGGAGTCCCTGCTTAGACACCAGCGTTTATATCACAGTAGCCAGTCCTAGCAGAGGCAATTTCCCTTCCTTACAGTTGCTTCAATACTGTAAGCTGAGCAACCCACTAGGTATGGTCCGTGTTCACTGGTGTCAGTGAGTTTTTGATGCTCTGTTCTAAAGATGGACTATGTTCTTTTAAAGCATGCTCCAGGTGTCCCCCGGATTTTGGTTGGAAACAGGCTTCACTTAGCTTTCAAGCGGCAGGTGCCCACGGAGCAGGCCCGTTCCTACGCTGAGAAGAACTGCATGACGTTCTTTGAGGTCAGCCCGCTGTGCAACTTCAACGTGACCGAGTCCTTTACGGAGCTGTCGCGCATTGTGCTAATGAGGCATGGCATGGAGAAGATCTGGAGACCTAACAGAGGTGAGTGGAGACCTGCTCTCGCTGTGCTGATGAGGTGCTCTGAGGGCAGAAGAAACTGCCCACGTGGAAGGGGTGGGTGTTTGCCTTCCTGCTCGGAGGAGGCAGTATTTAATAACCATCTGGACCTCCAAGCGCTTCACAAACACAAAGTGCCTCAGTCCCCACACACCTCTGTGAGCTTGGTAAACGCTGTAGCCCTCCTTCACGCAGGGAAACTGAGGCACACAAGGTAAGTAGTATGTCCACAGTCACAGAATCGGTTGCTATCAAAGCTGGGACTAGAACCCACGAGACTGGACTCAGTCCCCCCAGCTCTAACCACTAGGCCATGCTGCTGCTGTATTTGAGCACACCTGTGTGACTGCTCCGAGCTGCGGTGATTCACTAGCTGAACGCACTTTGTCTGATGCGGTAGCCTAATAGTGCCAGTTCAAGCCAGAGAAGGCTTGAGTAATCCACCCCTGAATTTCCAGCGCTACAGGCCTTTTGCTCCATATACATACTCTGTGTGGTGAGCTTAAAAGAAGCAGCACCTCAGTTGGCCTGTGGTGCATGAGCTCAGACCTTTGATAGACTGGGGGAGAAGCAGCACTTGGCTGCTGGCTCTACTCCAGGTAAGGCTCATTCCGCCCTCTTCCCCACGTAGCTGCAGTGCAGTGGGGCTGCAGTGGAGGTGGCAGGGATTGTTGGTACACAGTGCCCTGGGGAGGAAGAAATAGGCTGTCTTCCCCTTTAATGGTGGCACGTTTCCTTCTGCAGATGGGGGGGTGGTGAATGAACCTGGGTATCCAAGTGTGGGCCAGGTCCCATTATCTGAGACCCTCCCCACTCTGTCCTGGGCACCGACTAGCCATCACTGAAGCACTGCTGCTTCAGCCAGAAGGGATGAGAGTGTCCCTCTCTTCCAAGGCAATGGTCAAGTTCCCTGCAGCTGGGCCTGTTGGCACACTGCTGTTTGATGCATATGGAGGGTCAGTGAGATACTAGAGGGGATTCAAACCCAAATCTTGCTTGAGGCAGAAGGCAATGCTGCTGCGGTTTCTGCAGGGGGATACCTTGCTCTGCAGTGAAAGCTTTCCCTGCTTTGAGAGCCAGCATACACAGCTGGCTTGATTTAAAGTTCAAGCCATTCTGGTCGCTCTGTTGCCCTGCAAAACAGTGAGGATTTAAAGCTGAAGTCTTCTGTGCGCTGCAAATCTGTCCTAAACGCCTTCCATGGGCAGGGTCTACAATCCTTGCCAGCTTCTTGTGTCCTATTCATAGCACTGCTTCGTGGCTTTGCAGGCTCAGTCCTTGAGTAGACTGAAGATAGGAGTGTGCCCCCGTGTGGCCAGCTGTAAGGAAATCCCGCATGAGCTGGGGCATTCACAAAGCTGTGTCACATGTTTTTACACTGAATTCATGGCAGTAAGGGTCCTCTCAGGGAGAGGCTGAGTCTTGCTCTAGCTGTATAGGGCTGGCAGGTCTGCTGGATGATGGGGTCAGAGTTCAGAAGATCCTGCCACTAGACTTGTACAGGTCCCAAATAGGAATGTGCTCTGCCTCGCTCCAGCAAGGCTGTTGCCGTCCTCCAGACCACGTCTGCTCTTTGTATCTTGGAGTGGGGAGAAGGGGGCTGTGCAACTGAACTGCCAAACACTTTGCAAATACTGAGTAAATGAGGCCTCCCAGCACTATATATGGGGGAAGGATTAATTATTGTGCTGATGGTTAAACCGAGGACTGGAGGCAGAGCTCAGAGAACTTGGGAGTCCTGTCTCCTAGTTCCTTGTTTTCACCATCAGATCTGCAGTTTCTGAGGCACCGTATTGCCACCCCTAGTTTCTCCCTCCCTAAGAAATTGGTGATGTACAGTGCAGGCGAGATGTGCATCAGGGCAAGCTCTCCCCTTGGAGGTACAACCTGGGTGTCACTTGCCTCTCTGACTGTACTTGATTCTTTCTGTTCTGACAGTGTTCAGCTTACAGGACCTCTGCTGCCGTGCAATAGTCTCCTGCACACCAGTCCACCTCATCGACAAGCTGCCACTGCCTGTCACCATCAAGAGCCACTTGAAATCCTTCTCCATGGCCAATGGAATGAACGCGGTGATGATGCATGGCCGGTCATACTCCTTGGCTAGCAGTGGGGGCGGGAGCAGCAGCAAAGGTAACAGCTTGAAGAGATCCAAATCGATCCGCCCGCCGCAGAGCCCCCCACAGAACTGCTCACGCAACAACTGCAAGATCTCTTAGCAAGACTGTAACACTGTGAGCTCCAAACACACCCACCCACCAATGTACAGATGTTTGCACACGTAACCCTTTTCAATAGGATCCTTTTGAACGTTCCTGGGTCACTTTTTTGATGACGAGCATAGCTTTGGGAAACGAGTTCAGCTTAACGTTCAGACCATCATATCGACTGGATCCCACATCGCTGGTAAAGGGGACGGTGCCAAGTGAACGTTCAGGAATGCTTTGGGATTTTCCTCAGCCTGGGTGGAAAACTCGGCAGCTGCTGGCATGGGGGAGGGACAAGCTCGTCCAGTCTTGGCAGAGGAAGGGATTTAGCGGAAGATCAAGAGGCTTAGGGGGTGGTCAAGGGAGAGTCTGTGCTGCAACTGTAACTCTTGAACTCACAGATGGATTGCTGGTGCGATAGCGAACAGTGGACTTCTAAGAATAAACAGGGAATAGATGAAGGCAAATTCTACCTGGACTTTAACCTGCCATTGCCAAAAAGAGGCAAGAGTTGGCCGATTGGGAATCTGAAGGAAGCAGTCCTGCTTGCTGTTTTCACTTATTTATATCAAAATTATATAGAGAGCTCTCACTTTTCTAACTTTTTTTTTTTTTAAAGAAGCAGTCAGGGAAAGTTTATACAGCCATGTAAATAGAAGCATGGGACCTCTGTTCGCAGTGCACCAGCTAAAGGGGAGAAAGGGAGAGGGGGTTTTTGAGGTGAATATCTACAAACACTTTGGGGGATTGTACAAATAGCCTCACAGGATTGCTCTGGGTTTGTTTGTTTCAAATACAATCTATGTGAAAGGAGAGAGCGATTTGTATGCTACATGCCGGATCCTTCCTTTTCTGAACATTCCTGGAAACAAGGGTGAGGGCCTAGGAGGAGGCTGATTGTACTCTCACTTAAATCAAAACCCAAATAGAGTTGCAGCTGTGAGGCTGCCATGGCCTGCAGGAGCCTGAAGACACAAATTTGGTCAGACCAAATATTAGAGACCAAAAGTCAGCTGGTACCAGGTTTATTTTCCCATGACAGGCAGCATCTTCTCACGTGAGGGTTGTTGATCATTGCTGGCCTTGAGGAGCTGCAGGCATAGAAGTAAAACACTTCTGCTGGGCCTGCGTGGAGAGAAACAGAAAGCTTGATCACAAGCTACCCTTCTGGGGTCACTGTTCCTTCCCCCATCTTTCCCAATACTGCTATTTATCCCTCCTACTCTTCTGGGCAATGAGGTCAACCCCCTCATAGGCATGAGGACTTTGAGCAGGCCCTGAATCCAGAGTCCTTCCTGCACCTGTAAATACACACTTCACCTTTCCAAGGAACATCTAATCTTCAAGCATTGCCCATGGCTCCTCTTCTAGATGGGGGCAGGAGAAGGGAGAACACACTTCACACTGGAGTGTGGCATATTAGAACTGATCAAGACTGGAACACTAGTAACCATTCTAAGTGGTGTTAAAATGCAGCCTTGCTAGTCTGTAGTTCGCCTGCATTGGATGACCAAGCAAAGCTATCTTGCTGTACCCTCAGACAGCTATGATTGCTGTTCAGTGGCAGGAAAATGTGAAGGCAAATGCATTGGCTTGTTTTTATTGTCACCTAGGTTTTCACAGCTTCTAGAGCAAGCAATCTCTCTAGCTAGCAATTTGCTTGGGATAGGCATGTGATGTTAGAGAAATCCCATCTAGGACAATAGCAGCAGCTTCACTTACTTAGTCCCATAGCAATAGGACTTCTAACTTTCCACTAGGGCTTCCAGCAGAAGTAGTGCCCAGTCCTTGTTAAGCTAGAGAGGCTGATTACAGTTCGGTGTGAGGTTCAGTCATAGGTGAGCGAGACAAAGATATGGTAGTAGGTTCTTGTAGGCCATCAGGATGTGTAGTTTTTCAATGTATGAACTGCTTTTGGTTGCTCTGTTCTGCCTCCATTATACCTCTCTCTTCATTAGGAAACTAAACCGGGCACGTGTCTGCTGTAGGATGCTGGTGCTCTACTGTTACAGCCTGTCTCCCATTAGTAGCAGTTCCCCAAGGCCAGGCTTAGTATGTCACCCTAAAGCAGCTTGTTACATGGGCAGGATGAAGCTGTTGCGTTTCCTGCACAGCTGACCACCCACTCTGTTCAAGCAGCAACTAAAAGACGGGTGGCAGGGAAATGGCACAGCCCCTTCCCACAGCAACACTCCCTGCTGTGCTTTTCCCTTCCTTCCCTGACAGGGCCTGGAGACGAAGGAGTCTCTGCACTCTCTCAAACCCCGGAGGACAGATTTCACAGATAGCCCAGCTGCTAGGCAATAAACCGGGCCACCAACGAAGCTCAAATGAGGGAGAAGGAGAAAATAAACCGAGGGCTGGGGGTGTCTTTTGTGGCTGTGATTCAGACTAAAAACTAAAGCTGTAGTCAAGTTCAGTGCCGTCATGGGGAAGCCAGGGAATTTCTAGAACCTGTCAGCAGTATTACACCCACTGCTCCATGTCACTTAACAGGGAACAGAAGCAGCCAGGCAGCCTAGGGATATATGGCTAACAGGTGACGGCAGGCAGAACACACCCCTATCCGTCAGTGTAAAACCCTCTTTGAATTTGGTTTCCGTTAAACAGTTAGTTGTTGGAGCGCCTCAGCAGCCTGTAACTCACCTATGTTGCCTCTTCCGTATCTAATATCTGGTAATGCAGCTGGGATGGGGAGGAGATGGAAGATTCCATTCTGCATGTCTAGAAACTCTTCCAACTACCTGTGGATGGTTTATGCCCTACAGATAAACCCTCTCCCATCTCTTCTCCACTGTACATTTTCCCCTGTACAATCTCAGCAAATCCTGTCCAAAGGAAAGATTCCTTGATCTGGAATGTCTGCTGATCAAAACTGAACTCATCTTGTTTTCTTCATTTGAAAAGAAAGCCGTTCTGGCATCTGATATCAACACTAGTCTTTAGCTGCTGTCTGACACTCAGACCATTCCAATGTTATTTTGGATTCTCTCTTTTATTCCTTTGTACAGTCAATGTTGTTCAATTGATATACATGTTTTGTTTTATATAAATTAAAGTCTTTTGTTTTAAACTGTCCACATCCCGCCTGGTAATCATGTCAGTTTCAAGTGGGGCTGCGGTTTTAACAGGTCTTTAAGCGGGTTTTTCTGGGGTTGCTCAAGAGTGGGGGTGGGATGTGGCAGGGCTCATAGTGATTGATTGGGAACTTGCCAAAGGGGGGGCCTTTATACCAGTGTTCCCAGGATTGCCCTTCCCAGCCATTCAAAAAATCACAAGATTTGGCTTACAAATTATGACATTTCAACTTACATTTGGTTCTATTATTTGTCTTTTGGTGTTTTGAACCTTTAGGGTCATTTTTCAAATGTCTAGTCTCCAAAACTTGTTGGTTTTAATGGAAGCAGAAATTCTCCCATAATCACGTGACTTCAGGAGCTAGTGCTTAAAGAAAAACATTGACTCTCCTGAGACTTGTGAGAAAATCACAACCGTTCGCAACGCAGGTGTGTAAACTCCACGTCAAGCCCATATAAGCTCTGACTCGTGTTACAAGTGGGGTAAAACTCACCCTGTGCAGCTACATCAGTTGCTAGCCACCAGAGCTTCAGTCCCAGGTAGGGACCTACTTCTGCTTTGTTACATCTGGGGTAACTCCTCTGACAGCTGTAATGGAGAGCAGGGTTTGACCTATACTATCCAAATTGGAGTAAGCTGCGAATGAAATTGGTATAAAGATGGCTTCAAAGTGAATTTTGAAAGCAAGCTATAGACAAAGGGGAGGCACTGTCTTGTGACTTCATAGTTTGCCTCACTTTCTGTTTTTGTGTAACGATGGCAAATATTGCAGTGACTACACTCCAGAGTGAACAGGGGCAATCAGAGAGATGGGGTCACCGAGCATGCCAAGGCCCCCAGCTAGAAGAATGGCCTGTATGGTCATCACTGGGGATGAGGATCCTAGATCCCAGAGAAGCAGTCACTTTTTGGGAGAGGGACAGCTTCTCTTGGCCTAATCCTCTTCTCATTCATCCCCTAAGGGAGCGGGGGATACTGGCCCTCCCTTAGACCTGCCTCTTCTCCTCCCCAACTTCTGTAGGATTATATCTCCATTCTGAACCTGGCTGGTCAGGCTTGTTTTAGCAGTTTAGAGCTTGCTTGGGGAGGGAAATCAGATCGGCTTGAGCGTGGAAAACCCCATCATGGGGTAAAAGCCTGGTCAGGGAGGAGTGAGCAAATGTGCCTCATGTTTTTCAGGCGGGTTCTCGGAGTGCCCTGTGCTGTCTCACCCCAGGAGCCTAAACAAAGGGCTTGTGTGATTTCAGGTGTGGAAGGATCAGCAGGAGTCAGTGACTCTCCAGCAGCAGGTTCTGTTTTCATGCAGATGTCCTTGTTCGGAAAGAACAAGGCAAGAAAACCGCCCAGGACAAATTGATTAACACTGTGCCCCGCTAGCTTCTTTCTGCCCGAGTTCGAATGACTCTCACAAACAGCTCCTTGAGCCTCACTCGCCGCGGAGAAGTAGGCAGAAGGAGCACGTTGCATTGGGATCACTTTACTAGTTTCCCAACTCTTGTGATAGCTGGTGGTTTTCTGAAAGCCCCAGCTTCTGGAGTCATGTCACTAGGTAAGAAATGGTTTTCATTTAAACAAACTTATCCTTGTGGTTGCAGAGAGAAGCTTGCCAATGACACCTGAGTACAGCTGAAAGGCTCAGAACCAGAAAATTTTAAAAAAATCCAAAATATATTACTTGGGCTAAAAAAGAAGTTGTGTTTTTGTGTTGTTTTCTTTAACTCTCATAATCTGGGGGCGCCCGGCTCCTCTGGGTTTTGAATGCTGTGGGTTGGCACTACTGCTTTCATCACTGCTGAGATGCAGCCAGCTCTGGGGTAGAACTGCAGAATAGCTTCCATGACCTGTGAAAGTCAGGTGACTTTCTGAGCACCCCCTCCCTGCAAAAGATCCTACTGAGTAAGCCAATTGTCTTATGAAAATGAGGTCATAAGGGCACAAAGTCAGCTGTGATTTCTAAGCAGGTACAGCAAGAACAGTTTTTGGTTACACAGGCCAGAGGTGCACAGACATGTTACAGAGAACCAGAGGCTCTGATGCTCCTGGGAGTCTTAGAATTCATGGTGCAGTGATGAAGAGAAGGCTCTGTACTGGTGACTTGGAAAAGTGTATGTTTTAAAAAACAAAACAGCCTTTGCTCTTTATGATGTACAAAGGCTTGAAAATTTATTATTGAAGTTCTATTGGGTAGGGTGGGTGGCCCTGTTTTAAGGATTATTTTGCAGAAGAAATGTCAGAAAAGCCCAGACTTGACTTTTGGTTTGGTGTTTTTGGCGGGAGGGGAGTTTCTGGAGGTCTCCTCAGAGAACTAGAGAGTGGGAGTGCATGTTTTCTCCTCCCTCCGTGGAGGAAAACAGATGGTGATTTTTTTTTCTCCCGTGTATTTTAGGAGCGTGGATTTTGTAAGTGTTGAACTTTTCAGGCCTCCTCTCTACACTATAAAATGCAAAAAGAACTCTCAATTTTTTGCTTGGCAGGTCCCTTAGGAATCCTGTCTCTGTAGCTGAGGGTTTCCTATCGTGCCCAGCACTGGAGTAGCTAGATGCTAGCTTCTACCTGCATTCCAAAGCACTGGAGCATGGAAGGTTCAATAAGCCTGACATGGGAATCAAATTATCTTGCTAGTGACTCCAGTACAAAGCCAAGATACGTTAGTTAAGAGATTACCCTTCTTTAGAGGCTGGGAATGAGACCTTGGCTCACTTCCCCGTTCTGCCACCGACTGAAGGGACTTGCCAAAGACACACAGCCTTTCCCTGTGCCTCGCTTTCCCCAGCTTTAGTCTGCCCATCTTTCAAATGGGGACAATGATACTGATGTGCCTGTGTCAAGAGCTGTGCGATACATCAGTCATCCCACAGGGCTCTATATATGCAGCACTAAAGAAATGCAGCCACCTCTGGGGTGGGGAAGTAGCAAGTGCACAACACCCTGCATAACAGTGGGAAGGGGATTTGGCCAAGGACATCAGCAAATTCCTGGTCTTACATGCAGTGCCAGGGGATTTTATTGCCCATGCAGAGCAGACCGGACCTTGGTTTTCAAGGACAGCTCCCAGACCTAACTCCAAGCATCTTCTCTATTGGTCCTTGCCTTGGTTAAGTGCTTTGATTTGTGGCTCTCATGCGTGTGGCCAATACCAGGTGTAACCTATAGTGAAGGTGTAAGAGCCCTGCTCTCACCCGTGTGGCTTTTAAACCCATTTCACTGTATTAAGGATTTGCAAGGGAGTGTTTGGGTGTTGACCTCTGGCTGGAAGCGACCGGCACTGAAGCCATGCTGCTTCCCACTGGGGGCTGGTTTGTCAGCCACTGCGAGTAAGTGGTTTAACATTGCCAACAGCAAGAGTGAGTGAGCTAGTGACATAGCCACAGGTGTGCACAGCATGCCACCAAAATCAACATGCTAGGCTCTGTAGAGCCACACGTTCTGCTGTTTAGTATGTGCTTGACTGTGCTGCTGAATCAAGGCCTTAAAGTCCCATTGACGACATAAGCATCTGCTTTGCTGAATCTGCATGTGAGCCCCTGAGCTGCAGGCTTGGTCGGAGCTGCTGCAAGCCCAGAGGAAGTGTTCCCCTGGCCTGGAGTGTTAGCCTCTGCTGCTCTTCCCAGTGGCTGGGGGTTAGTTTGTTGCTCTGTCTCTGAGGTCCGGCATCTCTGCTCCCGTCTCCTGGGCCAAAAGGTCATGCCAGAAGTCACTGGAGCTTTCAGATCAAACGAGAGGAAATCGCTCCTGGGTCTGGGGGCCTCTCCTGGGCTTGCCTGATGCATGTGGAAACAAAGGTTCTTGTCAGCCCTTTATCCTCCGTTTGCTTTTGATCTTTGTGACCTGAGTGTGAGACATCTCAGGAGTGCATGTGAAACAGGGCTGCCTTGGGAGGCTCTCCTGGCCAGGGCGCTGGGGCTGCACTATGTAGCCAGTTGCGCTGCTGAGAGCCACGGCTGTGCTGACGTGCCTGAAACAGTCTCTGCAGCAAACTCCCAGCTTCCTTTCCTTGCTGTTACTAGCGAGCAAGAGATGGGGGAGCTGATCTCAGGTGGTGATGCCTTTTTTCCCCGTTCAGAAGTACTCCAGGTGGCTATACTGCTCTCTAGCTGGGATTGTGTGCTGCAGCCCCCAGTGTGGTGCCCGCTTCCCCACCACCTGCTCCCTCTTGTGCTTGGTGGCTCTCTGCAAGAGCAGTGGCCTCACTGAGGATGAGCTCTTTGCACTTAGCGCTTCTGTTCGCAAAGCGCGCTGCAGATGCTAATTGGTTTTAGCTCCCCCCCCCCTCCCCCGGGAAGTATCGTTATCACGCTTCTGCAGCCCCCCGAGAGAAGTGGCTTGCAGACCTGGGCTGTCGGCCCCACGCTCTGACGGGGGGATTTGTTGGCTGCCCTTACTATGGATGTGTGGATGGAGGTGCCAAGGCCACATCTCCCTCACACACTGGATTGTTGTTAGTCCAGCAGTGGCACCTGGACATGGCACTCACAGCCCAGAAGTGGTCCAGCCTAGGCCGGAGGTAGCCTGTGGGCTAGCATTCCAGTATCTGACTGGGAGCCGGGAGATCTGGGTTCTAGTCCCTGTTCTGCTACTGACCTGTGACCTTGGGCAAGTCACTTTCCCCTCTGTGCCTCTTGTCTATAGAGATTGTGAGCCCTCTGGGACAGGAACTGTCTCCTCCTGTGTGTTTGGTGCAGGGCCCAGCACAGTGGGACAGCAACCAGGGTCAGACGCTGCTGAGATACAAATCAGGTAAAGAAGATGCAGTGGGTGGATGCAACAGACCTGAAGTGTGGGACAGGGCTTAAGGTATCAGTAAAGTGAGCAAGCCTATTGGACTACAGGCAGAGATCTCAGCTACCCAGCCCTGCCTAGCACAACCTGTGACGCTTTCCCAGGTTAAATGAGCTGGGTTACATGGCTGCTGGCAGCATTCCTATGCCACAGCGTTTCTGCTGGTTCCTGCTGGGGTTCCCCTTCAGGCCTCTATAAACACAGGGTGAGGTCTTTCTTTC